AACAAATGCTAAAGAACAGAACAATAGAAAAATGAAAAAAAGAAGAGATGTCTAATTGAACTTAAACAAATAGAAGAACTAGAAATAGAATTAATCAAAAAACAAAAATTTGATAGTAAAGTTATGAATTACTTAATAGAAGTTTTAATAAAAAACAAGAGAAGAAACAAAGACAAATATACTTTTTATACAGATAATGCATTATATAAAGAGGAAAAGGAAAATAGTATAGAAAAGATGGACATTGGTTGGATGTAGGTTAGTAACAGAGAAGATTGGCCAGAAGAAGAAATGACACTAGGACTTGAAGGTTGGCCCTCAGCAACAATGGCAGAATTAGCAGCAATATGGTTAGCAATCCTAATCATACCAGAAAGAAAGCATATAGAGGTGCATACAGATAGTTCACAGCATTAAGACATATTAACAGAGCAATTTAAGAGATAGAAGATGACAAGTTTTGAAGAAGAAATATATGATGTGAATAGTGAATATTGTTGGTTTACTCAAAAGCAAGAATAATAGAATAGAACTAGTTAAGGTTAAAAGTTATAGTAATGACAAGTAGAATGACAGAGCAAATTTACTTGCAAAAAAAGAAGCAACATGTGGAAGGACAATAGTTACAGAGAAGATCAAGTGTGACACAATAGAGTACTGTTTAGAATGAAAAAATAGAAAATTTGACATACCAACAAGACTTTTATGTAAAATAGTTACGAATACCAGAATTGGAGCTAGTTAAAGAGAAACAAATTCAATTCAAGCACTAAAGCCAGAAACTAAGAACACTTGATATAATTGGTCAAGCTTTTAAAAAAAGATAAATAGAACAAAGGATGTACATTGCACAACAAGAAAACTTAGTACAAGAAGAGTAATAGCAATCAAATGTATAATGGATAGCCTACCAATACTAGAAGAATTGAATAGAAGAAGACTAGAAATATACATAATGACTGACTGCCAAGTATATCAAAAAGGTAAAAAGGAAACTCAAGTACACTTAGCAAGCTGCATTGGACAAAAGAGCTTATGGAAGAGAATCCAAAAAGTAGCAATGACAATAGCATAAAATAACTTAAAAGAAAGTGAAAAAGTTAGAATCCCACCTCTAGTACTATGAGACATTTTTTGGGAAAACAAAAGTAAAAGAAATTACAAACAGAACAGCTTTGATAAAAGAACTAACAACAAATAAAGTTAGAAAAAAGATCAGTTAGATTCTAGATAAGCAGGCAATATAGAAATGCATAGATACAGTAACAAGAATAGTATGGAATACATTCTATGACCAAGTATGGAGAGTTCGATATGAAAAAATACAAAAATGAGAAAAGAAGGTCAATATAACAGGCAAAATGAAAAAAGGTACTTGAATTAAAAGAAGATCAAAAAAAAAAACAAAGAAGAATAAAGTAACAAAGGAGAAAGAAAAAGAAAAGAAAGCAGAAAAAATAAACAGAATGAAGAAAGAAGCTTGAAAGTTAATTGATATGCTTGTCACAGAAGAGGAAAGACCTTTTTGGTATAACTTTAAGTAGTTAGACAAGCAGTCTATCTTTAACTAAGATAGTGCGGCAGGTTGCACTTAGGTGCTAATAGGATGGCCAAGTAATGCTAAACTTGAGTATTAGAAAATTCTATATAATTATAGATGTATATAGTTTTAAGAATCTTAATAAAGTACTAGCATAACTGCTTAAGGTGTAAAAAAAAAAAAAAAAATTAATATAAAAATTATTTAATTCTAATTACTAGATCATAAAATATAATTATTTAAATAGTAAAATTTAAAATAGTTTATTGCTTTTTTTTGCTGTAAAAGTTCCTATATATTAAAATATAAAGAGTTTTTTTTTATTACCTTTGATTATAATAAAAATTTAATATAGTACTTTTAACAAGTAATAATTAATAATAAATAATAAAAACTTTTACTAACTTTACATTTTCAAAAAACATGTAATTTTATATGTTCTTTAGCAGTTTTAGTAAATATATCAGAAATATCAAACTTATGATAATAGGTTGTTTTAAGCAATCCTTTTATTGCTCTTTTTTTTTTTTTTATTTGTATAAAAGCTATGATAAGTAATTATTTACATATCTTTTCTTCTTTATTAACTTCTTTATTATTTTTTTTTGATTAAGCTTATTATTTTTTGCTTCAACTTCTTTCTTGATTTTTTTTTTAATTTTTTTCAACTTTTCCTTAGTTTATTTTTTTTTTTTAATTATTTTATTCCTTAAGTTTGTTGAATTTTTTTTTGCTTTTTACTATATTTGAATAAAATACCTAATTTAAATAATAACAAAAAAATAAGTTTCATATATAGATTCTTACTAAAACTACATACAAATTAAATTTGTATAAGGAGTTTTTACTAGGATCATATACAAAATACATTTGTATATAAGTTTTTACTATACACAAATTAGATTTTGTATGCAGAACTAACTAGAACTATATACAAATTATGTTTGTATATAGATTTTTATTCTAATTTTCATACTTTTGTAAGACTATACACAAATTATATAATACATAATTATTATTTATTTTGTAAAATACAAAACTCTTTTTTTTTAATTATTAATGAACTATGATTTGTATATAATAATTATCTACTAATCAAATTCTTAAATGCAAAATTATTTAATTTAATTAATTAGTCTTTTGTCCTATTTTTCATCAATTTTATATGTTAATATATAAAAATTAGCTATTTCTATATTCTTATAACTTTGAAATATTTAATAATTTTTAAAAAACTAAAGTTGCTAAGTTGTAGTAAATTGGTTTGGCTACAAATTAGCAACTTTCTTTTGTCTAAATTCTTTTTAAATTAAAAGTTATAAGCTTTTAAAGTTTGTATAATCTTTTTATTATTATTATTATTATTATTATTAAAGCTGATGTTATTGGTTGCTACTGTCTTTATTTGTGTTTTTGGTCAATGCATTATATGTGACTTGTACAAGGTAAGTGTGCAACTAGCCATATGTATAACTTTTAGTTACTTATTTTAAGTAGTCTACTCAAGGGTTCTACACTAACTGCTATGCTTGTAACCTACTAGAAGGATATCTATTTAAACACTCTGATCCTTATATTACATCCAGATGAGTAACATTTGGTTCCTATACAACTAAGTGCCATCTAAGCCAACATTTAATTTTTTTTTTTGTATGTCCATCAAGTTGTTAAATATTTTAGAATACATTACCTGACTGTAAGATTTTAAGATACCTTCTTGTTAACTACCTACCCACTCTACAGAATATTAATAAGGCTAGCTCTTGTAGAGTTCACTCAAACCCCAGCACCTATTTCACAGCATATTCCTAGTACTTATAGTATACCTCTACTTTGATTCTAGACTCCAATTCAGATAGCCCGATAGGACTGTGACCTGTTCTTAATATATCAAGCCGGCCTAATATCCTTTTCTTCTGATTCAGTTCTAATAGTCTGATTGGTGATACCTTTCATCTAAGGTTCTTGCCCATCTGACTCTTCCATATTGATATCTGTTTTCTAGGTCTAGCCTTTACAGTAATATCATTAAAGATCTGTGTTACCTCTTTACTTAGATTTTTCCAATTAGACTCCAGTTTCCCAGTTTTACAGATTTACTTAATCACAAGAACTTATTTTAGGTTTGTACTACCTGGTATAGTTTGCATTCCTCTGTGTAACTAAAGTTACACAGATGCCCCGTGACCTGCCAGTCATGCTGGTGCGACTATAGTTACAGGTATTCTATTCTAACTGATCAACAGATTGTCATCACCATAATACTGTCTATGTATTACATAGGTGATTATTCAAATTTTTGCTGTCGGTGGGTTTTGAACTCACAACCTACCACTTGAAGGGTTGACAACTTATCCACTTCACTAAGTCACCACACCCTTTTTGTATAATCTTTAAATATCACATACTGTATAAAGATCTATTAAATTTTTAATCTAAAACAAATTTATAAAAAATTCAAAACAAAATTTAAAATTAAGTTTAAACCTCAAATGTGATCTTCATATGACTTTCACATGATATTTTCTTTGAACTATTTCTGAACTTGAACTTTTATAAAACATCTTTAGTGCAAAGTAATAGACAGAATTTTATCTAATTGGCTAATAAATTCAATTTAATTTTGCATTATTTATATACTTTTTTAAAAAATGAAAACTATATAATCAATAAAAAAAGCTATATAGAAGGTTTCATTAGAACTGTAGGACTTCATAGCCAAAAATAAGATCTAATTCTCATCTATTTAAAAAAGTAATATAGTAATAACTTCTCAAAATCCGATAAAATCAGCTTAGTACTAAGCTAATTTTTTTAAACGGACGAGAATTAGATCTTATTTTTGACTATAGAGTCCTACAGCTCTAATGAAGCCTTCTATATGGTTTTTTTTTCTATGAGGTGTCACAGCAGGAGCTTTTCAATAAAAAAAGAACTAGTAACTTTTTTTAAGTTTTATATTAAAATGTCTTAATAACTATGTTTATGTAATTTAGCGCATGTAGTTCATAATTTTATCTATGAAACCACTTTTCGCGTTCTAATAAAAAATAAATTCCTTGCAAAATTCATTTCGAAACAAATTTTATTTAAAAAGTTTTATTCAATTATCTATTCATATGTATATATTTACATTATAGCTATTATGGCTAATGACAGTCATAAGTTTTTCACAAAATATAAAGGAAATTTCTGTACATTGTGTATGTATACAATGTGTTGATACGTATCTCAAAATTCTGATTATAAATTTGCAAAATTATACGTATTATAAGCATAACCATTCCTTAAACTAGGTTGATTTTTTGTCTTACGTATAATTTATATATCACACAAATAAATTTGTAAATCAATAAATTAGTATATACCCGTGTATAAACACCACGCGTAAATTAATAAATTTTCTATTTTATTATTACTATACATTATATTCTTTTTAGTTCATACCATAAAAACATTGCTATGAATTTACAGTTACAGTTTCATGTATTAATGTTTCTTGCTTAATAGATGAATCATCATCAGAAACTATAGTATCAGTAATCAAGTTTGTACTATCAACAGTGGTCGATACTTGATTTGTAAGCTTTAAATTATTTTTTGGTTGACGCAGCCATTCTTTAGGAAATGGGTGCCTCTTTTTCGGTTTAACATGTCTAAGATCTACAGGAATATTATCAAAAGTCTCTGTATCATCCTAACAAATCAAATAATCAAAGTTAATAATAAATTTGTTGGTTTAAAACACGGCAATTTCTAATTATAACATCTTACTCTGGCTTCTTTTAAGAGCCGATCCATCAGATCACTTAGATATTTTTTATTTTGAGCCTGATGAGGAAATTTTTCACAAGAAAATTTAAATTCTCCTTTACCATCATATCTCGGTCCACATAAAACTTTAAATTTATGTAATTGTTCCTTGTTTAATGATAAATCTTTCTCTTTAACAGTCATAACAACTTTATTTTGTATAGGATGTTCTTCTCCAATGTAATACATTGTTTTAAAGCATAATATTTTGTCTGAACTAGGGGGTTTATAAGGTTCGGCAAACTCTATATTTTAAGAGTCCCTTAAGTTAAAGTCAACTTTTTTTTTAAAAAAAAACAAATAAAATAAATAGAGAACCTACTAGTAAGTTGCGGCAATTCATATTCTGCTTTTCGAAGGTACTTCCGAATCTCACTTTGCGCAAGTAATATATCATATCCTGGTTTAGACATGCTATCGAAACTATAGTCATTCAGCATTTCGAGGTCAAACTCTTTTTTTTCGCGTTTCGCACCAGGTCGCCGCCTTTGTAAAATTTTATTGGTAGTAGAAAAAGCGCGACATAAAATTATTCTTGACGACTGAAAGGACTTCATAGCGATAGTAGATTTCTTAGATTATCGTAATCTTAATAATAAAAATTTAGCGGATCGACCAGAAATTTAGAGTCTGGCATTAAGGAACCATACCAGCCACTCATTATACACTGCGGGTACGTAGCAAAATTATAGACCAGATTCTAAAGTTAGAAGGGAGGATTTAAGCAAAACCTGTACTAAAATTATGAGTAGAACCTTTGGCAATGCCAGCCGTTTCGATAGATTCCGATAAATTTTGGTTGCGCCATTACAGCTGTTCTCGATAAGCTTTTGATTTCGGTAATGATCGATTATGTAATAATGTGTATAATAATGTGTATATATATCTTTGCGTGCTGTACAGGGAAAACTGGACTTTACAATAAGAGACGCAAGAGATAATTAGTGTTGAGTGTCATCAAGGAAACTTGTCATGGGCTTTCAATTATATTTGTATCAGTCGCAATCAGTATAATTTGTTAAAGATTGTATCCGATACAAAATATAATTGAGAACCCAAGTTCTTTAGTCGTCAAATCCATTGTTTCAATACTCTCATATAATTCTTTTTGACTTATATTTTATAATAATAATTATACATTATTGTTTCGACAAAGATTAATAAAATCTTGTCAATTCTTGTCCTTATTGTCCTTATTGAACTTTTTTTCATTAGCGCCTGCTCGTGTAATGTATTTATTATGAAGTATGTCTTGTATTTGAAACCTTTTTTATATTTGTTGTCAAGATCTGTTGGCAAAAATGACCAAGCATCCTGGACATACGTTCAAGTGAAAACTTAATTTTGGATGCGTTGACATTGTAGTATCATTCAAAATACAATTGCAAACGTTAAATTATCAAAAACTTATCGAATTGACAAAAAAAAAATAATGAAAATAGCCATAATCTATTCTTTATTAATGTTAATGGTTAAATTTATTTAACAAATGAATTGTATATATATCGCAGATGTTAAATAAGCCGAAAACACTAGGGTTTAAAATTTCTGGCTCTCAGATACTCTGCTATTTTGTTCTAATGTGCCATGGAAACCACAAAGAAAAGGTACAGCCTTTGTAGTATATAGGAATTTACACATATCGTAATGATATTTGGATTTGAAATCTATGCAAAGACTGTTGATGGTCATGTCATGTGATTCTTTGCGCGATAAAAAATTATGGGATTATGATTCTTAGATTATCGTCATATGATAACTTTATCAAAAAATTATTTCCAGTGAACTTAAAAATAACGATAATGTTAAAAACAATGTAATATTTATGTAAAGGTATTTTTTCTATGAAAATGAACTAGTACATGCCTGGCTTTAACCATAATTTGAAACAATAGAAAGCCAAAAAATGCACGAACAAAACGAATTCTTAAGAAACGTGAGCCAAAAGTAGAAGAAAATGTTAAAACTGCAATTTTCATTCGTGGTAGTACGACAAGTCAAGTGGTTAACGATGCCTTATCAGATCTTGTATGTTGCCTTAAGGCATAAAGAAAATAATAATAATTTTCGTTTATATATCATTCAATATTTATTTTATTCAAAAAATATATTTAGTGTCGTCTCAGAAGATCTAATTCAATAAATTTTACCAAAAAAAATAACATTCATCCGTTTGATGATGATACATCTTTGGATTTTTATTGCGCAAAAAACGATTCATCCTTGTTTGTTATTGGATCACATTCGAAGAAGAGACCTCATAATTTAGTTTTTGGTAGAATGTTTGACGGACAAGTATTAGATATGATCGAAGTTGGAATTGAAAAGGCGATCACCATGAATGAAATAAAAGTATGTGTATTATCTAGTATTCACTATTATTATTGGTATTATTATTATTATTATTTATATGAAGTTATTTATCATTATTTCTGTGAATGATCAAAAGACACCAAAATGTTCTATGGGAATGAAACCTCTCTTTATTTTCAATGGTGAATTGTTTGAAACTTCACAAGTTCATAAAACTTTTAAAAACATGATGTTAGATTTCTATAGAGGCCAAACTATGGAATCAATTAATGTTTCAGGGTTAGAATATGTGATTTCTATAACCGCTACTGGATCCATCACTAGTTCTGATAATACGGTACCATCGACTTTTGATGGAAAAATTTTCTTTAGAGTTTATACAATTCAAATGACAAAATCAGGTCAAAAAGTGCCAAGAGTTGAATTAGAAGATATGGGACCAAATTATGAGTTCAAATTTAGGAGGACTAGATTTGCAAAAGAGGAAGTTTATAAAATTGCCACAAAGATTCCTAAAACGTTAAAGGTACTTATGATAACGTTATTATATAATTAATTCATTAAAGTAATGTTAACTGTCTAACATTTATAGCCAAAGAAAGTAAAGAATGTTGGCGTTAATGAAATTGGTGATAAGGTGGGTCGCATTCATGTTGGAAGACAAGATTTGGGTAAGCTACAAACGAGGAAAATGAAAGGTCTCAAGAGAATGTCAGAAGATAATGATCGGACAGAAGACTGGTCTCGCAAGAAACGAAAAGCTTAGAAAATGTCATGTTATTTTTGCTTTTTTGATGTTTCGTCAAGTAGAAACATTCTGTTTATCGTAAACTGCAAATAATGAAGATTGCTTATCTAGACAGATTACTTATATATTATATAGCAAATTTTACTAGTGACTAATTTTAATCAAAAATTTTCAAGTAAACAAAAAAAAAAATGCATAATTAAAAGAAAAAAAAAAAATCTAAACTAAAAATGGGATTATAGCCTTTCTATTTTTTGGATAATCTTTAAATTCTTTACGATAAGTTTTATGTTTCTTGATAGCCCATAAATACATATAATAAAATCCAGCAATGATAAAAAGCAGTGCTGTGAAAATAGTAAATGTTATTAAAAAAATGGCACAAAATTCCATTCAAGAACGTTAATTTGTCTTGAATCTTACCTGCATATGATTTTGTCAAGGCACAGATACTAATCCAGGCGATAGTTTCAAAAAAATAGTTTGGACAAGAGACCAATCCAAATCCGTACCCATAAGGAATTTTACGGACGCGAGTGCCCGGCGGACGAAGATTTCGAAGTGTGATGTGAGTACTAAAATTTGAAATTTGTGCATACTAAAATAGGCGTTTTTAAAGTAAATATTTGTTTCATTAATAATCAACTAAAATTATAAAAGGTTGCTCACCACAAAAACAGCGGTGCAGGCCCAAATATACCATTCTGGACGTTCACTACTTGAGGTTCCTGAAGCGTTCCAAGGACCATAGGTCCAATACGCCAAATTTATACCACTCAAAGCATGATAGTGAAAAGAATTTTTAAACACATTCATGAAAGGCATAGTACCGTGTGAGAAACGATGGACAAATAAAGTTTCTATTTCGCGTTTTAAAAAGTGTGCCATAATCATGTAATACGTAAATCTGTCATGAGACAAAAGATTAGCTCAATGAACAAATTGGAGAAAATACCATAAAGAAACGTATATAATAAAAATATTACTTTTGCATTTTACTGTGTTCAAAATTCTCTCCATAAATTTGAGAACCAAAATGATAAAATATCGGATGAATGATGAGAGGTCCAAGATATTCAATCACAAACACCATTTTCCAACTGATTTGTGGACCTTTTTATATATATAGTTCGATTAATTTTATATTTAAATATATCACTTCAAACAATGAAAAATAAATTTTGTTTAATAACGCACCTAAATCTTTTAGTGAAATGGTATTACCGTCCTTTATGTCATAGTCTTTCAGAGCTTTACCCTCTTGCAAAACTTTCTCATTAAAACTCAAGCGTTGACGGTCCGGATAAAACTTTTTTTCTTTTTTGTGTATTTCTTTCTTCAAGTAGTCGACTGTTGAGTCTTCCGGAAGGTCAATTGTAATAGGAGGTTTTTGGGACTTTCCCGAACGAAATGAAATTGATATTTGCATTGTAGACTTTTGTATTGAGCACGAAAGTAATTGATACAAGAAACATGAAAAATGATCATGGTAGAGATTAATATGATAGATCTTAACGATATTGATTGGGTTGATAACAAATAAGGATATAAATCCTCGTGAAAAATTAAACCTACATAACAGATCTGCTATAAATTAGTACATCCTTAAAAATTTAAAAAAAAAAAAATCGTATTCGAAAGGTAGTGATTGTATTCTTAGTATTATATTATCAACGTTTCCAATCTTATCATTCTTTTTAAATTTATACTTACTGGTCACATTTTCGGTTAACTTTGAAGAATAAATATGGTATTTTATTATTATTTTTATTAAAGCTGTCACTCCTATTCTTGATCTAAATTCTTTTTATATTCTAAAGATTAATCTATCACTTTACACAACTACTGCCGTAATACTTCTTGATGGAGAAGGAAACAGGATTCTTGCAAAATATTACGGAAATAGAAATCTGTATCCCACTTCAAAAGAACAGAAAGTCTTTGAAAAAGGATTATTCGATAAAACTAGAAGAGCAAATGGTGAATTTTTTTTTTTTCTAAGGGGCTAATAGATTAATTTAATATTTTTAATAGCTTTTTTTTTGGTTAATTTTTCATTAGGCGAAATTATTCTCTATGATAATCATGTAGTTCTTTATCGTAGCAATATTGACGTCTTTTTCTATGTTGTTGGATCTGCAGAAGAGAATGAACTCCTATTAAGTAGTATCTTGAATGCGTTTTACGATGCAGTTTCTAGTTTATTAAGGTTCGAGCATTTCATATTCTCGCTTTGTTAAATGAAATTTTTTTTTTAAATAAATAAATAACTTTTAAATAAATTATGAAATAAATTATGAACCATTTAGACATCAAGTTGAGAAAAGAACAATCGCTGATAACCTAGACCTTGTAGCTCTTGCATTGGATGAGACAATAGATGACGGGTAAAAAGAATTGTTTAGAATATATTTTTTTTATATTCGTTGATATGACAATTAATACAGATAATTGTTTTCAGCATCGCTTTGGAAACCGATTCAAATGTCATTGTATCTCGCGTAACTCGTCCCCGCACCGATACTACTGATATTCCTATCACAGAGCAAACTTTCATTCAAGCATATCATACAGCAAGAGAACGAGTTACCGAGCGATTGTTACGTGGAGTGTAATTACATTATTTTAATAAGAACTTGGAAGACATTAATAGACGAATTCGGTTATACTACGTATAGAATTAAATTAACAACACGTCTTATAATTTTGATATAAAGTCTTTGTAACATATATAATTAGGGTTTTTGAAAGTTCTAATCGTCATCAATTAAAACCATAATAATATATCATTAATATAAAAATTTTAAACCAAAAGTAAATGTCTATTATATAATATTGTCAGAATTTTACTTTTAACGATTTATACTTTTTTAAAGACCTCTAATGAATGGTATATAAGTGGATCAGTATAAGAGTATCGATAGATTTAAACATTTATGTGAAATAAAAAACCAACCTTGATTTCATTTGCAAAATTAGCCAAACTTTCTTTCTGACAGCTTCTTTGAAACGTGCTTCTGAAATTTCTCTTTTAATTCTTTTCCTCTTAATAGTAGGCTTTTCATAATATCTATTACGGCGCACTTCTTGACGTGTTTTATTATTGTTTAAGATACTCCATAATCTCCTGTAACATATCATAACATTACCAGAAACAGGAATCGATCTACCAGCTGTTGGACCTTTATTACCTTCTTCAGGACGAGATATTGGAGGGTTAGGGGTGTACATAACAGATGGTGGTGGATTAAAGGGGGTAGTAATATAGTTGTTGGGCGAAACTTTTTTTGAATAGTGACGAAACCCCTGACAAAACCCCAAATCCCTCTGATGAAAAACGAAATTTAAAATCGGAAATGACGAAGGATGAAACCTAGTGAGACCTTCATAAAAATTAAAATCAAATAAGATTTAAAAAGATCAAAACGAAAGATTGAACTATAATTATTAAGCCATTTCTATAATATAAAACCTTTCATGGATTTCTTCTCTATCTGTTGTTATAGTTTTATTATTATATATATTTTTTTTATATTCAATCGAATTATTTAAAGATTAAATATGGACTTTACACCTCTTCAAAGAATACTTTTACACCTATTCCAGTATTCAAAGATTACGAACGAGAGATGCATCGCTACCTCTTGATCGACCAATCAGGGTCCAAGATCTGGTATTGGAGGACTCTGTAAAGGGCCCCGCCAAATCACGTGAACAGTGTCCAATCAAATCGTAACACACATATATAGTATATATGGGCTAGGTGCTGCGGAAAATGACAAAAAAAAAAAAATTTCATAAAATCAATTTTTATATTATAAATCTTATAATAAATCAATAAGAAAATGCACACAATTTTATTAACATAACTACTTTTGTCTCTTAAGTAAAAAATGATCCTAAATTGATTTATGTAAAAAAAAAAACTCTTCCGAACATACAATGCATTTACCTAGTTAATATATAGATATCAAGATGTCTACCCCCCGAATTTAGAAATAAGGCCATACATTCACTATACGTATACGTAGAAATATTTGGTTATCAGATTAAACTTTTGATTTGGAACGTGATTAGTATATATGTTGCAAGTACAAAGTAGGAACGGAATTTCTTAGTTAAATTAGGGTTAGGGTAAGGGTGTTCATATGATAAAATCAACCCGTTTCCATATATCATAGTGATAGTATTCTGAACGATACTACATTCAAAATTAAGTTTCCTTGAATTCATGTCCAGTATGTTTAGTGTGTTTGGTCTGTACGAGAATTTATGACGAATATTCCTCTTGCCAACAACCAATAGATCTTAAGACAAAAAAAAAGTTCTGAATATATATAAGCTTACATAATAAATACATTCAAGATCATAATCAACATCTGTTTTTAATTAAATAATAAAAAACTTGCGCCTTTACTACATTGAGAATTATAGATCTGGTTGTAGCTACCAATCAGGCTTTTGATTCATTAACATTTAAGTTCTAAAATATTTTATTATATCATTCAAATTTAATTCTTAAAAGCGCCAGAAGCTTTTCAACACCCACATCTTCGAAAATGTTTAAAAATTCGACCTGCCAATACCTTGATATAGATGTAACACCTCTATGTAAAACTAGATGTAACATCTAGACGTCTTGCAATTACCCGAATATGCTTTGAAAATGTCATTAGCAAATATAAAATAGTAATATACATTATATATATATCGATCAGTGTCGAAATCAAATGTCATTTATCAAAGATATACACGTATGTCTGCATCATTTCGACTTTATGTCGATTCTGAATTGACATGTGTCATTTGTAAATCGTGTAATGACATGTCGTTTTAGAATCAGTATCCATTTGCCGATTGATAAAAAAAAAAGGGGCGGAAAAAAAAAGATTGAAAAAAATAAAATAAAATAAAATAAATTTAAAGAACGAATAAAAATGAATTACTATATGCTCGTTAAATGTTAAATGCTAGCTAAATTTTCATACATTAAACGAATACTTCAAATATTTCATGTATATTTTAAAAATGTAATTAAATATTATAACGACAATTAATATTTTTTTATTATTATATGGGTGAGTACACAGCAAAACCATGCTTAGAGCCGATTTTTTTATGGAAATATCGATGTTCAATCAATTTTTAATATTGAAGCTAAAATTAGAAACTGCAATGTTACGCTAACATACATGTACTACTGTTAATTGATTTTTTTTTTTTTAAGGGTTAGAGGGTAGTATTTTAAAATTATATATAAACCTAATGGTAATTTTTTTTTATATTTAATTTTATAAAAAATTATATTAAGTAAACTAATTTTAATTTATAAGAAAAGTTTGTAGAGTAGGTTTTTCTAATTCTAATGATAGTAAAATCATTAATATTGAGTAAAAACTTAGGAAGATATGATTTTTTAAAGATTAGATATAAAAATTTATTAATTAAGTTAACCTATAAGGTTATGTAAATTAACCAATCAAATCTAATAATTTTGTGTAATTCTGACAAATTTTGGGGGACTCCAGAAAACTTTGTAATATATACAAGTATATTTTTTTAAAATAATATAATACTTCAAAACTTTACTATAATAGATAAATAATTTTATTTATAATATTATAAATTTTTTTATTGATTAATTAAAAAATAAAAAAGTTTTATTAGTAGCATATATCAATTTTAGATGAAAATTTTAAAATATCATACATTTTTATATAGAAATGATTTACATTACCCCCTACCCTTAAGCAGTCTGCCTATATATTACTATACAGGTTCTATACTAGATGTTATACTTGCAAGCCAACTACAGGTCTTAAGATACAGAAAGCTCTAGAGAGTTTATCTCGAAGATAAAATAATCCTAAGCTTAAAATAATGATTTGAGCATCTGAATATAATCCAATAAGTTAACATAAGTTACAGATTCAGAAGGTTTAAAATAAAATATATAAGCAGAAGTGTTAAATATAGCAATTAATAAAGAATCTTTAGGCAGACTTCTTAAATAGGTAATATAGAAAAGTTATATATGTAGCTAATTGTACTCTCTTCTGTAGTAGTTTATTGAATCATATTATTAATAAGTTGTTAATAAAAGTCAAAAAACCAAAGAGGTTACCTTAATATCAAAAAAAAAATAAAACATTTATATAATTGATTATATAAAAAAATGCAAACTGGTATTAGATAGTACAAACTTTCAATAAGTTTTTGTAACTGTATAAATCTATTAAAATTAAAAAACAAAAAGTTTATTTGAGAAGACCTAAGTAAAGAAGTAGCACAAATTTGCAATAATGCTGTTGTAAAGGCTAAATTACTAAAAATAAATATTAATATTAAAGTATTCAAACAGGCAAGAACCTCTAGATAGAAGTATTACTAATCAGACTACTGAAATCATTAAAAAAAAAAAATATTGGACTGATTTAATATATTAAAAAACAGTTTGCAATTCTATTAGGCTATCTGAATTAGAAGTTTAAAAATAAACAAAGGTATACTAAAGTACTAGAATATGCTATAAAGTATATATTGAAATTTGAATAAACTTTACAAAGACATAGCAATTTAATGACTAGCTCTAATTACAAATATTGGCCCTGTTATAGTAATATTAAGTTAGCTATAAAAATAGATGCAAAAAACTCCAGAAGATTTATCTTAAGAATAAAATAATCTTAAGATTAAAATAATAACTTGGGCATAACTTAGTAATATTAATACAAGTTGTAAGTTTAAAAAGTTTAAATAGAATATTCAAGCAGAAGTGTTAGATATAACAATTAATAAGAAATTTTTAGATAAACTTCTTAAATAAATAATATAAAAAGCTATATATATATAGCTAATTGTATACTTTTTCTGTAATAGTTTATAGAATTATATTATTAAAAAAGTCATTAATAAAAGTCAAAAAACCAAAAAGATTATTTTTTAAAAAAATAAATAAAAATAAAGTATAGGCTGTATCATCACTTCTGATACATCATATTTTATAAAATAAATTAAAAAGCTTATTAATAATATTAAATCT